TTCTTCTTCTTCTTCTTCTTCTTCTTCTTCTTCTTCTTCTTCTTCTTCTTCTTGTCGCTTTCGTCGTTTTCGACACCGTCGATACTATTGTACTATTTGTTGTTCTTGTTGTTGCTGTTGTTGATGTTGTTGATATATTCATCGTAGCCATTGTCGTTGCTGTCATCGTTGTTTCGCCCTTGCTTTCATCCGTGCAGCGTTTGCCGATCAGTTGTTTGCTCATATTATTTTTTAAACAATGACATTGGACAATAATGCCTCAATTATGGAGTATGTTGTAACGATAAATAATTATCGAAAAATACTTAATCTCAAAATCATGGAAACCTGGCTCTGTCGTGCTCGTAGGAATATTGAATGAACCTTCATTTACTTTTTGAGGTAGGAAGTGTATTTTTTGTGGGGTGGGAGTTCGAATGCCACAGGAGATTTTTAAAAAGCACTAAAAATGTCAAAATACAGTTCTAGTGGCTAGGACGAGCCAATTGAAATGGTTAAAAATTCAAGATTTTTAAACACTTAAACAAGCAAACAACCAATTTACCAACCAACCAACCAACCACCGATGAAAAGACCAACCAACCGATTGACAAAAAATTAGTGTGTCTGTCTCTTTTTCTATTTACAGTGGTGGAGTCTTCAAATGTCCAGAGGATGACAAACCACTAGACTATGCCAAGGTGAGTAATAAGTTGCCTAATTGGTAAATTAAATATAATAGGCGCCAATTTGAATGTTTTTCCTTTCATGTGTTTCTGTGTGTGTGTGTGTGTGTGTGTGTGTGTGTGTGTGTGTGTGTGTGTGTGTGAAACGTCTTTTAAACTGAAAAAAAACCCTTCCAGGGCACTAGGGCACCCAGCATTAGTTCAGTTGGTATCACAGTGGTAGTCCCCAACGAGATTTTCTTCAACTTGGGTTTTTTAAATTTTTATTTGGTTTTTCATAAACGTACATTTGTCCTACCCGAAATGTGAGTTAAATTGGAGGCCCTACATCTTGAATGACCTCTGAGTTTTGAAGCAGAGCGAACAGAAGCAATACAATAAAACCTCTCTTCTTTTTTTTTGTTGCTTTTAAATATAACCTTTTTCCCCCTTTAAAATTGAACCCTTTTTTCCCTTTCTTTTTTAGATAAACCTTTTAGGGGCTTTTATGTAAAACCTTTTTTTCTATATTGCTAAATAGAACCACGTCTCTTTTTTGCTTAAAATAGAATCTCTATTATTATTTTTTAAAAAAATAGAACCTCTCATTTTTCCAGCTTTACCCGGACTCTGAGGTGCAGACAGAAATCATGAACTCTGTGATCCGCTGTACCTACCACAAAGACGGCTGTCGGTGGACGGACAAACTGCACAACTTGCCGGTGAGTCAACTTGTCATTTCTTCAGATGTAAGACTATTAAGACCAACATTTTATTCTTTAAAATATATTGCAGTTTCATATTTGTGGCATCGGTGGCAGGTATGTGTTCACAAATATTTTGTCTAAATTCAAATTCTTAATGTTGGGAAAAGCAAGGTGTAAAAATCTATAATGCAGGTTCAATTAAATTTTTTTTTAAAAGCACTGTCTCACCTTTTTGCCGTC